AAGGAAACAAGAGACAACGTTGATAACCATTGTTTATAACCTTGTACTCTGTTCTACATCATGTGCTATGTCTCTCCTTGGTTTTGACTGACAGCTTTGTTTTGCCATATTTGACTTTATTCTCTCCCCCCCAAAAAATGTAATGAGAACTAAGGAGTAATAAAATCCAAGGTGTGTGGGTTTTGTTGTAAAAAAGAGAGGGAAAAAAAGAGCTCTAACGGATATAACAGCAAGTGTGTTTAGGGGTGTTAAATAGCTGACTATATTAATGTTTTTGGATCATTGAACACAGCTGTTTGCGGTATCTCTGTTTGAGTGTCCACTTTGTATTCTTTGATGCTGTGATTTGAGCAGCTGTTTCCAGGATGATAATATGTGATCTATTGGTAGGTGATTTCTTACTGTTATTATTTTTTTTGTAGTTCTGTATTATGTGTACCCTTACACTGCTTTGTTTTGTTTTGTGTTTTTCTCTTTTTCCTCTTAAATAAAATATATATATATTTTTTACCACAGTTTAAAATCATAATTTAACATACCTCAGTATATCATATCTCATTGAATTATAAATTTTAAGTGAGTGAAATTAGAATAAGTCAATTATACTTTTTATTAAGATATGAAGTTTAAAACCAGTATGAAAAGAGAAACAAAACAAACAATAGATGTGCTGATGAGTGTGCCTGATGGTTGGTAGAGAGTAAAGATATTTGAGATGAGTTCCTGATGATAAAACTCTGGGGAACTGTGTCAGCTTATCAGACCCGTTATAGTATATAGGTGCACCCCTTGCCAGAATTTCAAAAATCTTTCCATGCACATGTAACTAGCATAAAAGTAACATTTATATAAATATGACAAAATGATTACATACGTTGAATCAAGATTCATGGTCTCAGTAATTCATAGGAGTTTTACTATTTATGCATTAGTTAACAATAAATTTAAGGACAAAAAAAAGTAACTCACATGCAAATGGATATTAATTTTAGTCAGCAATGTATGAACATATGCTTAAACACTAAAAAACATTACAATACACACATACATTCTTATGCACATTGCTAACAAACAATATACGTTCTCACATAGACAAATAAACACAAGTTTACATTCACTGAAAGAAGTACTTTGAGGTAGGCATTTAAACAAAAAATATATAATTCTGTATGTACATAAATTTAAGGAGGTAGAAATAACAAATGTTCATGACTATAATAGATGCATTTGTGAATATGCAGTGATATGTTGCATGTATTTCCATGAAAAGTCATATAGAAACAAAGAATTTTCATGTGCATAAATCAACTTTTCACTAAAATAATTATTTCTGGAAACTCTGACTGGTAATGCTTAAATGAATCCCTAACCATCACACACAATCACAGTGTGCAAATAAAATCATTTTTTATCAATATATTTAAGCAGACAAGTTGTAATTCCTATGTTTTCAACTAAGTGTATATTCATCAGATATTCAAATATATCTTCATTCTTCAGTACATGAATTTATACATGTATGTAAAATATAAGATAAAATAGAAATAATATATATCATAAACATATATTGATTACATCTTACATTTCAAAAACTGTTAAGATATTTTTCTTCAAATGTAATAAATTACAACAAAACAAGTAAATACTATTTCAACTGAAATTTTGCTTTCTGTAAATTTAATTTTATGAATTCCATATCAAAAGTGAGGACATTGCTGTTAAGAGACATTTACAAAAAGTTCATTTATTATCAAGATTAGCTGCCATGTGGAAAACAAATGACTGAAAGTATTTTAGGAAAGGGCACACAAATTATAATTGAAATGGAAATTTGATTTGGTGTAATGGAAAAACACAAGTAGTCACCTGGAGATGATAGCTATTATGAAAACAAAATAGCTCAGTATAATTTGTATACAGGTTTAATCCAGTTCCATCCTTCATCAAAGCCTCACTGCTGTTTAACAGAATAGCATTGAAGAGTGTGGGTTGGAAATGATCTGTGCTTGCACCAAAGTGCTTTAATATTACAATGGGATTAACTATGGGTGATGCTGTAGAATGCAGAGCATCAGCTCCTGGGAGGTAGGCGGTAAGATAAAACTGTGCAGAAAGAAGTGACTAAGTGTCTCCAAGGCAGTGATTGCTACTTTGTATTTGAGAGACACTTATTTGTGTCCACATTAACTCTGATTTTAAAAAGACAGACATCACTGGTGTTGAACAACTGAAGACAGATGGCATATCTCCTAGATAAATCACTTAGCAAAGTAAGAGAATGAACTAGAGATACCAATTCATTCACCTTAAACTGTGCTTTATGGTGGTACCATAATGTGTTTGTTATAAACTTGCTCCATATTTTAAAGTTGGGTTGACCACACACACATACACAATTTCTAAAGAAAAATATACATATTCATAAACACACATAATAAAACAAAATATACATTTCTACTCAAATACACATTCAAGAGTACAAAAATAATGTGTTTAGTCTCTTGGAGGAGTGCATTTATCAATATGTACTAATAATATACAGGAACTCCTGTTGAAAGAAACTCCCACTGGAAACAAAAGAATATGTACACACATATTTATTTTATTAAATATACACTCATATTTATAAATCTAAATATTATGCTGTTAATCTTTTGCTACCTCATAGAAGTGCATTCATAAAACACACTTGATCATTTTTTACAAACCTGATAGAAAAGTGGTAACTTCATCCCTTTGCATGTACACATATTCACTTACTAGATGTTCCCCAACATGCCCTTACTGTGTTGCACATAAACGGAATTTATAGACACACACAATACAGAAGACACAAAGAAACAAGTTATACTTATTTGTGGTGTGACTGTATCACATAAAACACAAAGTATTAGGCTGTTTTCCCCTAATACATGTACTGTGACTACAAAGAAAAAATATTTTTTCACCTAAATTTTTGGCTTTTATAAATTTAATTTATGCTTTAAAAGTTAAAACAGAGGCATTATTGCCACAAACCACTTACAGATTCTGTACAATATTTTCTTGTAGGGGATAAAATTTTATTTGTTTCTTTATTCATTACTCTGTCATCCGAAATCATATAACTAAGACATCTAAAGGGATAGAGTATGATCTACTTCATTTTTAGTAGCAAGGAGCATTGGTGATAATGAACTGACGAGACCAGTAACACATTGATGGTAGATATTATAAAATAATTGGTTCAATATAATTTGGGTCTAGAACTAATGTTGGCTCTTTGCTAAATTTAAGAACATGGAATGGAATGGAATGGAATAGAATAGAATAGAATAGAATAGAATAGAATAGAATAGAATAGAATAGAATAGAAATCAACTATAACATCTGAAGATGACAAAAACTATCTATGGATGGTAAATGATTACATAAGATGTAGGTCCTAAAAATTGGTGATAATTTGCCATATTCTTGGTATCCAGTTTTTGTCTGGGATTTGAACATGGGGCAACAGTCACTTCTGTATTTGGTTGTATTTACATGATTTCTCATGCTTTCAAGAAAGGATAGTGTGAGACTCAGCTTTGCCGCAAAGAAACTGAGGGGAAACACCAGCCTATTATCATGGGAAAATCAGTGCTTCTTAATGGAAAGGAGAGATAACCATTGACATTTTAAGGCACTCAGATTCCACCATTCAAAATCATGGCCTAAGTATGTTTATACAATAATAGAATTAATACAATTTGGACACATTGCTCATCCATAAGTTTGATCAATGTTTATTGCAAATAGTTTCTTTCTTCTTAAACACAGTGTTCAATTTCAGTCTTTGATCACTATCTGTCTAAGACTTTTACTAATTCTAGTACTTCAGGTTGCTTCATAGCCCTTGCTTTTGTACCTGGAGAACTATTTTCCTTCTCTTCATTTTTCATCTTGGGAATCAATTTAATCTTACAGGGAGCATGCTATCAGCTCCTAAAGATCTCCCGATATATTGCTCTGATCAGCATTGTAGGAAAGAGTGGTGACCAAAACCACTGGAGTGACTCAAAAGGAGACATTTAAATGCTTAGTGTGTGAAATTAAAGGAAATTATTTTAACAACCATTAAAATTCCTAGAGACTTTCCCACAGTCTCTATATACATGTCTTGACGTAGCACCCTGAGACTTATTAAATAAATCATGCTAATATAAATGAGTTAAAATTAAATAAAATATAATTTTTGAAAGTTGAAAAATAAAGTGCAATTGATACAAATCTACTACTCTTTGTTGCTATAATTAGAAATTGGATGTATTTTGAATACATCCTATTGGATGTACTTGTACAGAATTTAAAGACTCTAGCTTATGAGCAACTGTTCTTTCTTTTCTTTTACATTTACTATTGCATCTTGATCATTTGTCATGTCTTCATAAACTGGTCACAAGTATAATAGTTAAGTGGCACATGGATATTCAAGTGTGTATTGCTTTACCTGGTTTCAATATAGTATATGAATAACTTTCAACTTTGTTTTTATAAATAATGATTTGAGGTGTATCATTGTGCATAATTTTATTTCACAAATTCGATTTCTATAGATAGATTCCCAGAAGGAGAAAATATGAAAATTTTAACTGGTTGGTGCTAGTCTGTGTTCTTTTTAAATAGGCCATCAAATTATGCTGCCACTTGTGGTATATTAAAATGGTTTATTTATCAGATTCACAAGAAGATAATCTTGTTTAAAAATATTCAGTTACTTAATGAATGAAATCTATTGATGTTTGTGATGGTGAATGCAGACCACAAAAGTTTTCATTGTCCACCATAACTCTTACATGTTTTATCTGGGTATCCTGGAAATGATTTCTCTTTCAATATTTAGTAATTTTAAATTACTGGCTCTTGGCTAATTATTTACAGAGGTGATTTTATGATGATGTGTAAAGACCTGGCAAACTTTCTTCATTATGTCTATAGATCAATAAGGCAAATCAAGTAGTGTTGATTCTATTTCCTTTAATTTAGACATCTTTTTCATAGCATACTCGCAAAACCCTGTCCCTGATCTGCTTTGTCCTAACTCCATAGATGATGGGGTTGAGCATGGGTGGCACCAGGAGGTAGACATTAGCAAACATGATGTGTACCACTCGAGGCACATGATGGCCAAAGCGATGGGTGAGGAAGGTAAAAAGGGCTGGGATATACAGGGCCAAGATAACACAGATATGAGAAGCGCATGTGCCAAAAGCCTTGAAGCGGGCTTCACCTGAGGGCAACTGTAGAACAGCTCTCAAAATCATCACATAAGATACACTGATGACGAGAATGTCAAAGCCAACCACAGAGAAGGCCACAAAGAGCCCATAAGCACGGTTGACTCTGGTATCAGTACACAGCAATTTTAGCACAGCCATGTGCTCACAGTATGACTGGGGAATGACCCTGTTGGGGCAGAAGGGCATTCTGGAGATCATGAGGCAGAAGGGGCTCACCAACAATAGCCCTCTCAGCATCACAGCCACTCCTAATTTTACCACCACGGTTGTAGTCAGGATACTAGAGTGTCTCAGTGGAAAACAGATGGCCACATAGCGGTCCAAGGCCATCGCCATGAGCACCCCAGACTCTACAGAAGCAAAGGCATGGATGAAGAATACCTGGATGAGGCAGGCATGATATTCAATCTCATGAGCATGAGACCAGAGTATGGCCAGCATTTTAGGCTGGGTAGAGGAGGACAGGATCAGGTCAGATGTAGCCAGCATTGCTAGAAAGAGGTACATGGGCTCGTGAAGAGTGTTGTCAGTTCTGATTATATGTAGGATTGTGATATTGCCAACAAAAGCCACCACATACATGAAACAGAACAGAAATGCTATCCAAGACTGGAAGTTCTCCAGATCTGGAATTCCTAGAAGGATGAAGGACATAGGATGTGCAGAGCTGTTCCTTGATGTGGACATACATGGATGAATATTATGTTCTTTTTTTGCAAAGCAATCCATTTTCTGCTGATGATATGAATCAAAACAATCGTGCATTATTATTTTTTTAGATTGCATTATTAGGTGATAGAAAAATAAATATAATGACATACTCTAGTTAATTCAATTCTTACAATAAATAATTTTTTCTGGTATAAAATAATGTTGCTAATTATTTTTATTAATATTATGCCATTTAAATTGGGGTAATATGTAAGATGATAGCATAAGTATTTTTTGTACAATAGTAGTATATTTAAAAATGGTTTCTAAGAAAAGTACCATAATAATGTCTTTCTAATCTTTAGAGCTAAGAATCAATCAACTAATATATTTATAGGTTATTTTGTCCTGCTACTAAGTAAGGTGGGTACATTTTCAGGATATAAAGGCAGCAAGGTTAGAGTCTATAAGCACATATATATGAGGTTGCATTATCTTTGATTCTAGGGTGATTAAAAAGGGGATTTGTACTAGAAGAACTGAACAATATACATCTGTAGTTGAATGTACTGTCTGTAGTACACAACCTCTCCCAAGTCAGAGGCAAACAAAATTTTATGACAAAAGCTCAGATCATGAATATTTTTGGTTCTGTGGTTCATGCAGCCTCTGTGCAACCAATCGATTTACACTTTGTGGCTTAAAAATTGCCAAGTTGATTCACACAATGTGTGTGTGGTCATGTATGTTACTTACAAGAACTTGTTAAAAGCCGAATTTATTTTGAAGACTATAGTTTACCAAATCTTTCTTAGGTTTCAGTTTCCTCAAGATGTCAATCTTGAACTTTATGCCTAACCTTTCTGTGCTTCATATAGAAATGTAATACATATTTACAGGAGGAAATAAATAAATTTTACTATTCAGTGTTAATATGACTATGAAATAGTTATCTTCATGCTATCTATTCTAATTAGTGAAGAATCAAGAATCTACCTTACTTGATGGAACAGAAATGGTTTAATTATCATGACAAAGGCAGATAAAGGTGGCTTGATGAACTGTGTAGTGCATTAGAGACAGAGCTATTGCTTGTGCACTAGAAAAGGTGTCCCTGTTACCGTACTGCACTGGATTTGAGGTTCTGGACCATGCACCAGCTTGTCTTCATAGAACACCTGGATATGGTGCTTTCTCTGCCGTGACATCTGTATTGCTTCTGCCTCTGAGCTTTTCCAGAGGCCTTGAGTGTTCTACTTAGTCTTTTGTTGCTGGAACTCTCTCTGTGCAGATATCTCAGTAATCTACATTGTGCAGCTTCCTTTAAATTCATTTTCCTTCTTCTCTCTCAGTTTTTCCTTCTCAAGTGAATCATGGAAGAGGAAAGAAGTCTTAGGATCAAGTTCAGAGTGAGAGATGGACTCCTAGACAGGTGAGGGTCTTTCCTTTGTGTGCCTTTCTGTGACTCTTCCTTCTTTATGAAATAAACACAGCCAAATTTACAGAATGACGAGGTATTTGAGTAATTCTTGGTCATTTTTGTTCAATGTATGAGATTTGCAATACGGCAAGTATGGGTTATGAGTTCACTCTTGAGTTGACAGATAGAAATGTGTATTTTCAAAGTGATGTAAAATAACAACTTTTCTTCTTTCCCAACATGCTATTCTGCTCCACTCTGGTATTAAACATGTTCAACTTTCTTATTCACAGGCTATAATACTTCTGACTGTAGTGCATGTTGAAGACTTCAATTAAATCATATCTCTTTAGAAAATGTGAATTTACTCTTAACTTCTGATTCAATTATGTTTCCTGTTTCCCAAATAAATATAACATGTGAAGATTTATGTAGCTTTTGTTGAAGAAAATAACAGTTATAGGAACGGTATGTAAACTGAATATAACTCCACTTTCAGGAACAGTTTATAAATTTTACGGAAATACAGTTATAGGAACAGTTTGTAAATGGAATATAGCTCTGCTTTCATCTGTGAATATGGGATCGAACCCAGTGACAGTGTCTACTGCCCCTTGTGAACTCCCTTACTCTTTTTAATGGAAACAATATTTCCACTAATCAGCAGTGTTGCTGAAGGTAGTGAAATGATTTAAAAGTGAAATTGAGCTAAATTCTTGTTAAAGAATAGCTGTAGAGATTTTTAGGCTGTTTCTCTAAGATGGGAGAAACTGAAACTAAAGTGTAGCGGTGAGATTCAGAGGCAGTCAGTCCCCTGCATGGTGAGGTGAGGAGAATGGCTACTTGCCTATTTCTCTAGGTCTCGTTGGAAAACAGAGATGGAACTATAATTCTTTAACTTCATTTCAGAATTAAGTTCAATAATTATGGATCCCTGAATCTGGGAGTCCTAGGGAATCACAGCTTTGCATAGTGCACTAGGTTCCTCTTCAGCTTCTTGGAGACTCTGAATCTCTCTTTCTGGGAAGGATAGAAATACCCAAGGAACAGGTATCACTCACCACGAAGTGTGTTCAATCTTTGGCCATGTGGAACATGACCCTAGCAGCACCAGCAAGTCTGTAGGATTCAGCTTTTGGAGGAAACCTATGACCAGAGTTTATCTGAAGGACTATACTCATTCTACTTTTCCCCAGGGCATCAGTTCTCTTCCTCCTCCTAAGTTCTACTGTCTCTTGGTAACCTTGGATTCCTCTGAGACTATTTATTGAATCTAGGAGCATTAACCCTAAATTTCCTTTTTCTGTGCATACATGAACACAAAAGAAGGGTTTAGGAGTACATATGCAACATGGAATGTGATTGAGCTTAAGGTTATCTGTACACTTATTTTTGTTATTTGTAGTCTAAATATGTATCATTTAAGAGATATTTTGTACAATTTGAAAGTTTATTGATTTTGTAGATGCTACTGTGTGTATTTGAGAGGGACTTCACTAAATATATGTATGAAGGAGTGGATTTACCTGTGATCTTAAGTTTGTGCCTAGGCTCAAGGAAATGTAGAAAATGGAATAATAGTTTTCTTTTAAGTACACAGTCCCTCTGTGACACCACATTTCTCCTCCTATTTCTATATTTATTCATTTGAAGTTAAATATTAGTAGTACTACACTAATACACAGATGGTAAATCATAAAAATATCAATTTTTGAGGGTCAAGATAAACTTAAAATACATATATTTCTATCATTTTCTTCTCCTCATCAATGAGTTTTAAGGGGCTCACTTTGATATATAGTCTCCATTTATATACCATTCATTTTATGGACTTGGCTGATACAGAATTACACCTCACAATATCCAAATGTACACATTTACATTCTATATAAAAAACAAAGCAAGGTAATTTCCATTGAAAATGTTAACTCTACATCAATACTCCAAGCCTATTATCAATCTTCTTCAAATATCTATTTCTCCATTTTGGCAAACTGACTTTCTTAAAACGTCAAGAGTAGTGATTACTATTTTATTTCCCGTGCATTTATAACTTAGAATCACATTTTCTTCTTTGTTTTGGAATATTTTGGAAGTCTAGAAACTCTAGCATGGTTCTGGTCTCAACTTACAACAATCAGTAGCAGTAGGGCTAACTTTCAATATAATTTTATACTTAAAATGTGCAATTTTATACTTAAAATAATTTTATACTTAAACTTAATTTTATACTTGATAAGTAACTTCTCTGAATCTCATTTTCCTTCTGTATAAAATGGTGATAACAACTAATGCCCTTGGTTATTGTAAGAATTCAATGAGATAACATGTAACAGCAGCTAGCACGTTTATGTAGTTTTAAAAACTAATATATGAGACTCAAATGTTACTTGCCTTGCAGTTATCTATATGCATATTTCTTTATAGAGAAACATCCCGACTTGTGCAGAAATGAATGCATTTTTCTCGTATCACTAGAGTCTAGCATGATGACTAGCATTTTATTATTGTTAAATTCATATTTATTAAGTGAGTAACATCTTGGTAAAATGGTTATGTTATGTTTAACAAATACATCAAGCCATCATTAGCATCAATGCAAAAGTATATTACCTTTGAATATCCACACAAGCACTGCATTCTTAAACCTTATCCTTTTGCTCAGAATTTTCACTTGCCTTATTTAAATTGCAGAGGTAATTTTACTCTGTGAAATGTTCTAGAGTTTTGCAGTATGAATCAAAATTAGTGTCATTGATTCTTGGGCAAAATGTTGGGGCAGAATATATATTAATATGAAATGTGTCAGAAGCTAGAATCATAAAATCTATAAGGGAGTCACTTAAATGGAAAGGCATGTGTTAAAAATCACACATGTATCTGATGTAATTTCTACTTACATACCCTTTACCCCATGAGCATTTATACATAAAGATAGATTTTGTTTGACCCTATAACAGTGATATTTTCTGTATTTAAAAATAAAATAATCATATATCTTGTCCTTGGACATACTATAAGATGTATTGCATCTTGATGTGATTATTAAAGTAAATAACTAGATAAAAATACTTCTAATATTATATGTACAAACACTCCTGAATGTTATTTTTATAAACAGAAAACTTATCACAGATACTATCTTCATTTTCAAAGAGAAATCATCAAGCAAATTAAAGTTGAATTTGTGACACCACATATCAAAATATATACATTCTAAAATAAAATATATACAAAATGCAAATGGCCTGTGTTGAGTCCTCAGTCACAAATCTTTCCCACTCCTATATTCTTCCAGATATCCTAACTTTAGTTGCATCATCACTGGTGATAATAGTCTATTAAGTTGTCCATTGTCTACTCATTCTGCATTTTATAAGTGAGTCCATTTCAGTTAGGTCCTGTTCTTTGTCTCCTGGAACACTTGGATGATCCATCTTCTTATCTGCTTGTTCTTCATGCTGTACACAATGGGATTTAGCACAGGAGGGAGCAGCAGATACATATTCACCATGAGCATGTTCATTATTGGCGGCAGATGTTTCCCAAACCTGCGGATAATGGTGGCACCAATGAAAGGAACATGGAAGAGTAGCGCAGCACAAATGTGAGAGAA